AAAGACTGAAAGAAGTCTGCTGAGTGAAGAATCTCTGATGTATAAGATTATCTGATAACTGATATTTAATATCATCTGTAAGAGTAAGAGTTCTCTTATACTTCAGAGAATAATCTTACTACATTTAAGTGCAAGAGCTGTAGAACATGAAATACAATCTTATTCTCAGACTCAATTGATTTCAAAGATTCAATTCATAGATTCAATGATGTATATATTATATACAGTTGACTGATAGAAAGAAAACAGTTCATATAATTCTATTAATTCATATAAGAAGAACATTTCACATCTCTGATATAGAAGAATTAACTCTGTTTACACATTAATAAGTAAAGAGAATAATTTATAAGATCTCATTCAAAAGCATTCTATATATTATACAGGATCTGAAAGCAGAGAAGATCAAGATAAAGAATATATAGAAGAATAAGTGTATGAAGAAGCTTCTGAAAAAGTATGAAAAGATCTTCTGAACAGATCTTTCACTGAAATTACTGCTGAAATGAGAATTTGTATATGAGATTGACACAGAGAACACAAAATCAGTCAATCAGAATGCATACTCTCTATCATAAACATATCTTGAAGAACAGAAGTATCAGATCACAGATCTTCTAGAATATAATCTTATATAACTCTTATTAAGTATGTAAGGCTTTTCAGTTCTATTTATGAAAAAGATAAATGAGAAGTGACAGATGTGTATCAATTATTAAGCACTTAACAAGCTTACAATCAAGAATAGATATTCACTGTCACAGATTTAATAACAGTTAAATATAATTAAAAATATCTGATATCTATTGAAGATTAATCTTCTCTCAGAATACTGACAGATCTGTGTAGATAAACTATCAGTCTTATAAACTGTGTTTAATATGTAATGAGAGAAGTTTGAATTTCTAATAATATTATTCAGTCTAATAAATGCACTCATTATCTTTTAAATAATGATAAATATGATTTTTTATAAACAGAATGAAATCTCATGTCTTATATATTTTAATAACATTCTAGTCTTTTCAAACTTATATAATAAATATCTGAAGTATCTTAATAAAGTGCTTATAACTCTGACAGAGTATAAGCTCTATATTAAATTAACAAAGTATATGTTTGAAATAGAAGAGTTGAAGTTCATAGAATATATAGTGAGTAATAACTGTATATATCTCATTTCAGAGAAATTGAATGTTATAGTGAATTAGCTGCAGCTGAGAAATATATACTATATATAACAGTTTCTTAAATTATTCTTATATTACTGCAGATTTATCAAGAATTTTACATGAATATCTGCATCACTCTCAGATCTCTTAAGAGAAATAGATGTAAATCTGTGAAAGAAGAAGTTTCATTCAATTATCTGAAATATTATGTATAAAGAGGCATTTCTCACACTGAGAGAATATATAATAACATTCTCAGTGCTTATTCAATTAGATTGCAATAAACCTTTCTACATTAAGATAGATATATTCAAATGAGCTATCAGAGATACTCTTCTACAGATGAGTAAGAACAGCAAGCTGCACTCAGTGATGTATAATGATAGAAAACTATCAGATACTGAGCTCAATTACTCAGTATATAAAAAGAAATTGTTAGTGATCAAGTATATACTGATGTTGTGAAATAAATATATTAACAACAGATATATAATAACAGTAATTATAGATTATAAAAGTCTTATCTATCTATAATCAATAATAAAACCTTTCAAATACTTAGTATATTAAATCTGAGAGTTCTAAGTATACAATCTTAATATCAAATACTGAAAGAGATCAGACACTGTGATATCTAATACAATCAGTTACAGATCTGATTTCATGAGTAAGAGTTCTGTGAATCAGATATAAGACAAGTTCACATTAAATACACTGAGAGAATATAAGAAATTAGAATAAGTGAATACAATAATCTCTCACTTGAAGAATAATAAGATATCAGATAACAAGTGTCTTGTGAAAGTAGTAGAAGAAATGCTTCTGAACTTCAAGCTGAGAAAATTGAAAAACAATGTTATACTTTACTGCAATCTAGAATACATAGAAGCTCTCTATCTAGAATATCTATTTAAATACAACTTGATAGCTCACATGCACAAGGAATTCAGTTACTTAGAAAGCTCTGAACTTATAAGTATACTTAAATCAAGAGTATACTCATCAAGCATGGCTGAGAACATTCAGATATACACTCACAAGTGCCTGAATTATCAGATCACAAAAGAATCTAAGAAAGGATTAAAATATAAGAAAGTACAATATCAGATAAAGTGTATAATACAACTGTTTAAATAATAAAGAATGAATCTCATAGATATACTGCTGTAAATATTAAATGAAAATCAATGAATAATCACTGCTATTAATTATACTACTAACTGATCAGTCATGAAAGCAGTTTCAGAGATGATAGAGAAGATAGTGATGAAGTTTCTATATAATGAGATCTATATCAACTATGAAATACTGTGTGAGATTCTAACTGATAACAGTGTGAATCTCATAGAAGAAGTGATGAGGTATTTCATAAGTCAGTTACAGATAAGATATTATAGAGCAATGCTATATCACTCATGAATAAATAGAAAAGTAAAACACTTGAATGAAATCTTAAGTAACATACTGATGAAATATCTAGTGAACAAGTCTATAAGATTATAAGATGAATATCTCAGTCAGGCACTATTAGTCATGCAAATTCAGCAGCATGCAGTCTTTAAGTATTCATTATTCTATCTATTGTATAGATTGCATTCATGCATTCTGAAGAATACTTTGAAAAAGATAGAGAAGGAAACAGCAGTTACAGATACAGTAGTAGCAGTTGCAGATATAACAGTCACAGACACAGAATCAAGATTGAAAGAGATTAGTTATACACATATAAAAGCTAACAAGTTACTTCTGGACTGAGCAATTCAATTGAAAAGAATACAAGACTTACTAGTTAAGAAATTAAGTCTTAAGATAAAAATATGAGTTCTTATATACAATGAGAGCTCTGAGAAGTTTCAATCTAGATGATTTGAGCTCTATAAAATACTCAAATCACATTCTCTGAGAATATATACATTGAAAGAATCAGAGGAACAGATCTTATACAATTTAATAAATAATTCATATCTTATAAAGACAAAGATACAAGATCTGAGCAGATTATAATCATTCATAGCACTCTCATCAGTATTGAAGAAGAAGAAGCTTATAATTAAAAAGTCTTATAAAGTAAGAGAAATTATAGATACTTACAAATCAGATAATCTCACTTATTTCAATCTTTTCATGATTATAAGAAAAGAATGAAAAGAAATGAAGAAATCAGATAAATATCACACTTTAATAAGTGATGAGACTGTAGCTGATTGTATAATAATATACTGCAGATAGTGAGTGTAATGTGATAAAGAGCAGTCTCAAAGCAGCAGACTTACATATAAGTCAGATTATAGAAGAAAAAGAAATTCAGAGTTAAATTTAACTGTCTATACTAGTTCAATCACAGAGATAACAGAGAATGAAGCATCTGAAATATTCACAGATATATGAGATCAAGTTATCTCAATCTCTGAGAATACTCAGAGATTAGATAAGATTAGTTTCAATAAGCTGTTTACTGTAGTAATCTGAGTGAGTGAAGAGAGACAGTATAATACATGAGACAGAATTATAAAAGATGAAAGCTGCTGAACCTAGTCACTGAATACTGTATTATATAGAGATTGTATAAGAGTAGTGACTAGCAGATAAAGAAAAAGTGTAAGAAAGAAAAGAGATAATGAATTAATTATCAACTGTAAGAGTCAGCTGTAAAAAGATAAATATTATCATATATACATTATTCATTTTTATATATCATATGTTAATTCATTTCCAACACCATGTCATCTGAAAAACATTAAAAAAAATAAGGAAATCTCAAAACTCGAGGTCTGTAAGAAATTTGAGAGCTGTAAGTCACTCTTATAACAATGCTATATATATCTTCAATTCCTCTACTGCTCTACATACAACATTAATATCATTGATCACAAGATTGACTGAAATACTAATATAGAAATGTGTACATGTGAGTGTAGAACAATTGAAGAAGAGTGCAGAACTCACAGAATCAGAAGTCAGAATAGAGAAAGCAGAGACAGAAGAAATAGAAGAAGAAGAAGACACAGAACTGAATAAATAACAGCAGAAGTCACTCAGAGTTAAACACTTATAACTCAGTGTATACACAATCTTCTCTGCAGAGAAGAGAGAGAAAGTGCTAAGAGAAGCTTAAGAGTAAGAGAGAGTAGTCTCAGTGATATTATCATCTTCAATTAAAATAATCTCTGACACTGAAGTAACTAAGAACTATTATTAGTATATAAAACTGTAAAAAGCAGAGATAATAATTATCAAATGAATATTCACTGATCTTAGAATTATATATGTAATTACAACATACATGAGACTTCTCAGAAAGAGAGAGAGAGATACAGAGAAATACAGAAAGCAGAATACAGTGTGTGAACAGCTCATTTTTATAATGATATCTCAGATAAGATATATAAGTCTTATATTTATAAGTGTAAAAGAGTACAACATCTGTATTCTTATTTCTGAAAACACAGATATTCTTTACCTGTATTATGAAGTTGAATAACAAATATCAGAGAATAGATTAATACAGATCAATCATTCTGAAAGTATTTATTAAAGTAAATGTATCTGTAATATTGAATTTAATAGTTATAAAAAGTTTTTTAATATCTGTGAATATCATGACTTCATATACAGTAAAACTGATAATGATTTTCTCTAAGAACAGAAAAATCAGTGTCAGAAAGAGAAGAGAAAAAAAGAAAGATTTACAATCTTAACACTGTTGAGAAAGAGAATGATTCTTCAGTATAAATAAACAATTATCTTATTATAAATATTTAAAATAAATGTAATAATCAGCATCTGTGACTGAGCTTCAGACAGTTATATTATACACAGTCTTTATACAATAAATCATTCTAGAGGTCAGTAAGAAGAGTAGAAGTGTATATACTGACAGATATAATTTATTAAGTCTACATAATATCTTCTTGAAACAGAGAGAGCTGATAATAAAAGCAGAGACAGTAGAAGCAGAGAGAGCAGAAGTAGCAGAAGTGAGAGTCACAGAAACAGAGATAGTGAGAGAGAGAGAGTCAGACACAGAGACAGATGTAAGAGATTGAGAGAGAGTAGCAGAGAAAGAAACAGAGAGAGTAAAGAAGAATATAGAAGATCTGATCACACATAACACAGACAATTTCTTTATTATCATATTTTTCAAGTTTTCAATTAACAATTCAATATTGAGATGTTCATTATTATCAGCAGACACAAATCTGTTAATATATGAAGATTCTATATAAATCAAAACAAAATATTAGCATCTGCATTCATGCAAAACATGATCAGATGCTCACTAGAAAAAGAAGATTGAGAGTGTATAATAAGATGAAGAAGATATGTCATTTATAATAGTACATTCTGGTGATCATTAGAAGATAAAAAAGTCCTGATCACATTTCATAATATATTACACTTACTACTAATGAACTGCCTAGTATGAGTACTATAATAATACTTATTATGAGAACAGAGAGCTATTGTCAGAAATATATACAATGTAATAGATAAACAGATAGAAAGTGTTAAACAGAAGAAGAGATAGAAATCTTGAATAAGATAATAATATTCAATGATAATGATAATGAAGAAGATGATTGAAGAATGAAAAAAGTTAGTGAATGAGTGATGTAATATAGTGAAAGTTTCTTTGTGAGAATGTATACAGAATGCTAGCTGAATCAGGAATAGGTCACATGATCACGAACACTAGTGGCGCGCTAATCCGCATGAAGCTAGGGCATGTGGCATGGTCATGTGGGCGTGACTGAATCCAGTGAGAGAGGATGTGATTTAGAAGAATATATGATCACTGGATAATAATGCGGCCGCTTCTGAACACACTTCCGAACACACTTACGAATGTAAAGGGGCCATAGCGGCCACCAATTAATTTAGCGTACAGTATATGAGAAGCCGGCGTACGCCTGTAATCGTACACTGACTCGAGCAATCTTTGAATCACATATCTTTCTTCTCTTTCTCATTCTTCTTATCATTCTTTATAATTCACTTCTCATTCTTATTCTTCTTCTTCTTCTTCTTATCTGAGATGATAATCATCTTAAAATCTCTCTCTGCTGTCTTCTCAGAGCAGGGTTCTCACTACTTTCTCTCAGTTAAATTAATCTGTATCTCAAAATCCTGCATTTTCTGATCTGCTATCTCAGGTTTCATCTCAGTAGTAAGCAGATTGATATACTCAGAGAGCAGAGCTGTCTTCTCAATATTCTGAATCATGAAGTGCATTCAAGATCTAAACAAGGTCTTAATTCTCTTCTTCTCTGTCAGCTTCTGCTAATCAATTAGAGAACAGAAGTATTATCAAAAATTATTATCTCTTAATAAAAAACTTATCAGTTTTGACTTCTTTATCTCTTACTTTAATATCTTCTTAATCTTCTTCTACTATTACTTATTTACAGTAATACTCTTCTTCTCTCTCTCTCTCTTTATCTTGATCTTAAATTATTCTCAGAACTTCTTCTGATCTTATCACTACTATATAAGACTTTTCACTATCTTCTTTTTTAATCTCTCACAGGCAGTATTATTTATATTATTTCTATACTTAGTTTAGTCTAAATCTATTAGAAGTATTATTTAAAATTATTATTATTCTACTCTCTTACAGAGTCTCTTTAAAATATTATAATATATCTTATAATCTGTCTCTCTATACTTAAATATCTTCTTCTTCTCTCACTTTAATCTGTAATAGTACTCACGCATCTTAATGATCTGCAGAACTGCAGAATATTTAAAGAGAAGTGATATAATTAATTTCAGTAAGTGTTAAAGAGAGATAGAGAAGAGACAGTCAGAAATGATATAATAATAATAATAATAATAATAATAATAATGATGATAATAATGATAATAATAATAATAATAATAATAGTAATAATGATGATGATGATGATAATAATAATAATAATAATAATAATAATAATAATGAAAGAGAGAGTGTATTAGAATATATTACTAACTTATCAAATATAAAGAGACTTAAAGAAAATATTAACAGCTTTCAGAGATAAACAGAAACAGCTACAGTGTTATATAGTAATATCATCTTCATTCAATACATGCACTGTTGATATTCTTTGTATACAGTTATTATATAATCTATATCAGAGATACATGCAGAAAACAGATCTTTATTACTAAAGAGAATAATTGCAGCAATTCTCTGTTTTCATATTATAAAGATAAGTTATTCTCATTTCTTTCTTCTCTATTTTCTCTTCTTTATCAACTCATCACTAAGTTCAAGCTGATATGAAAACTATTAAAACACTCTTAGAAACTCTTAAATTAAAGAGTATAGACTAATCAAATTTTAAATACAGAAGAATCAAATTATATTTAATATTATTAATTATTCATTCTCTTTTAATAAAATAACAGTTGTGTCTTTCTCTTCCCCTCTCTAAATAAAACATGGCCTGTGAAAAGCAAGTATCATATCAGATTATAATGATTAACACAGTCTCAGTATGCAGAGCTGTATATATACAGTGCATGCTGAACTGAGAGACTGTATAAGTTACAAACTAACAGCAGTATCTCAGAGAGAGTTATATGATATGAGAAATCTGCAACTCTCAGCTACATGTATAGAGAGTGAATCATCACAGTAAGTGCATGTGTATTGTATGAAAGTAATACTTTTTGATAATACTCAGTCTCTGATATTATGAAAATAAAGTCTCTCTGTGAGATTCATTTTTATCAGAAGTCAGAGAATCTTATATTCTTCAAGACTATCTTCATATATCTTATCTGTGAAATCAATGAAGAGAATCATTAATTTCAGTATTTTACTCTTAATATTATTTAAGTGACAGCAGAGTTCACTCTGATCATACTTTTTAAGTGTATATTTTCTAATTATTTACATTTATATAGATATATACTGATTATTTATTAGATAATATTAAGATAATAACTTATCACAGCTGTGTTACTCTCACTGTAAGAGATACACAGTTAATAATAAATATTATAAATACTCTGAAGAGTAAGTATTTTAAAAGTGCTATAGTTCTATAATCTTAATTTTTTTTTTTTTTTTTTTTTTCTTTTTCTTTTCTTATTTTTTTTTTTCTTTTTCTTCTTTTTTTTTCATTGTGATTTTTTCTTGTTTTTATTTTATTTTTTATTTTTTATTTTTTGTTATATTTTTTATTTTTTTCATAATTAAAATTATATGAATTATAATCTATATTCAGAAAAGTAATAATATTTAGTAATACTCTCTGTTAAATTTTTAATAAGTACTATGTTATGATATTATGTAAGTGAGAAATGATTTCATAGTCTTATTTAATATCATTATTAATAATAAGATCAGAATGAAAATATGACTAAGAATTCAAATATATTCTTTATCTGAGACTAGATTTTTATTTGAAAAGTGAATCTGAGATCTTTAATATTTAAAATAATGTGATTTGAAATCAATGTAATGAATATAAATCATGATCAGAAGTAATACTTTTAGATAACATAATAACTGTAAAGTTTAATTCTGATTTCAGACACGGTCACACGGTCAGTCTATTTGTATATACTAGAACAGAGGCATTTCTTCTACTTTGTCTGAACTCAATTGAACTACAGGCACTAGCCACCCGCAGAATGCACTTTAAGCTAATTACATTTAATTCTCTATAATTAACTGATCACTGCATCTGTTCTCTCAGACCAGTCACTAATTTTCAGAAATGTTAGTTAGTGACTGTCACTGCTCACTTAATGATGTACACATTAAGCTTTCAGTTGCTGATCTTGGCCTTATTAGATGCTCATAGACCTATTAATCAGCTGTCATGATCTCACTCTGTGTTAGAGACTAATCATAGACTTGATAACTGCAGTTCTCTCTGTCAGTATTAAGACTTAATAGTGAGCTTGCAGACTTTAGTCTATCAGAGTGCTCTGTCTAGAGTCTAGATACATATCTAAGCCTGCTAGTCAGATGATTTTCAAAATTATTTTCTGTATTTAAGAGAGAGCTAGGCTCTGATGACAGCTCTAGTTAGAGACTCACTTAAGTAGTATATAATCACTACATTAGACTTGACTCTATATCATTAGAACCTTGATAAGTGCACAGTAGAATAGTGAGATATTGATATTTTATATCAGCTCTGATAAGTGTTCACAGAATCTCTCTTAACTAATGACTTAACTTACAGTAGAGAGTTCTACTCTGTATCAAGTCTTACTAATTAGACTCAGTCTCTATTACATGAGAGCTTTTATGAGTAAGAAGTGACAGATGCTAGTAGTGAGATTCAAACTCACACATCTCTAATGTGTGTGACCTTGGTTATCAGTCTTATCAACTGGGCCACGCTGGCAAAGAGAGACTATAATAAAATAAAATTATTAAAAGATAGTGTATAGCTGTTTTAACAGATTATATCTAATCAATTTTCACCTCTTTATATTTAGATATTTCTGAATTCAGTCATTTTCTTATAGCTACTTGAGTTTCTGATAAAGTTTATTAAGTATTTAATTTCTATCTCAGTTAAGAATAAGAATCTCATATTTAATTGATTTAAATCATACTTCTTCTTGTCAGGTCACGTGATCTGGCTTACTAATCCTTCCACTATATAACTTTCCACAAGCTAGCAACCTTTCAATCACACAAGCTTTACACCTTTCACAGGTTATGAGACTTGTTTTGCGCAAAATCACTGCCAATTCGGAATTCCTTGTCAATATAATCATTATTTAACTACTGCTTCATTCAATACACTCATCAGGAGTTAAAATTGTCTTATTCTATCAGTATTGATGTGTTTGAGATCTTGATGATCAATAATACTACTGCTCACTTAAAAAAAAAAAAAAAAAGAGACTTGCAGAAAACATATCACATTTGTAAAAAAGTAAGAAAAGAGAACAATATTGACAAGGATTCAATAAATAAATATCAAGATGACAGATTTAATACAATCTCATTCACACACACATTCACAATCTCATGTTCTTTTCACTGAATCAGTTGCAGTTAATGATGATGATTCTTCACACTCATACTCTGCCAGTGAACATTCTTCTGAAGCCTTTAAAAGCTTCATTGATGAAAGCTTCATTGTTGAAACACTCTTTCAATTTGAAGCTGATTTGAATACAGCTTCTGACACAGTCAGGCTGGCCTCTCAATCTACTCAACAGCTTGATGAAGCTGGTTCTCTTGATGAGAATAATGAACA